ACTCTTCCCCTACAACCCCACTGCTGACCTGTGAGAGGAGGAGAAGGTGGCACAGGACTTCATATCCAGCGAAGGGTCTGATAAGTCCAACTCAAAGATTTCTAGAGAAGCACTTGTACTAAAGGTTGCATCCAGCTGCTGAGCTGATGTACCTGCAAAAAAGTGTGCTTCACAGTGAGAAAGCCACAACACACAAGAGTCACTGAAAAAGCAACATAAGTAGGGGCATAAAAACATAATGCTTGCACAAAGACTCTGGGATGGGGTCAGGTTTCTGTTTGTTAGATGTAGTTCTACGTAACTGCCCTCCCCATGGTTCCCCCTTTGGGGGTTTCTTCGCCAATAGGAATAGGAAAAGCTTTGGGCAAGTGCCTCTCCCTTTCTGATTTGCACAGAAAACGATTAGTTACAAAGAAGCAGCAAGGGACAGCCAGCAATTAAGACTGCTGTCATCTTACCCTGGCAGAAGGAAGAAGATGCTTGCTGTCACTTGCAGAAAGCAAACCATGTTTTCATGCATGGCACAACTGGATAACTCCACTAAAGGCACTGCACCATATACCCAGTTCCAGTCTTCAGGACACGAAATAACTCTTACAACTTTGAATCATGACTGCTTCATGGCAGCCCCCACATGTAGCCTACTAGCACATGCTTCCCAGAAACTCACCTGTGGCCAGGTAAATGGGGTGCTGCTGTGCAGGACTCCATGCCTGCATAGCAGTACGATCAATTTCCTTCAGCTTCATTTCACTGAAAAATAAAGAGAAGAAAGATAATGCTTAAATGGAGCATGGGGAGACTGCAGTGCCACAGATTCAGCAGCTGCATTAGGACATGGCAGAAGCTGCTAGAGTGCTCATTCTCCTAAAGATATCCCACAGACATCAAATCCACCCTCTGCAGAGCACGCTCAGGGAGAAGGGGAGTAATAATTCCCAGTGGGCACACAGAGGAAACCGATGGCTGCTAAACAAACTATAACACAGGAAAATCTGGGCAAAACTTCAACTGCTCCGAAAAATCCTCTTCTAGCAGCATCAAGACACACATAAGGCACCCTACAGCAGCTTTCAGTCTTAACCCACGAAGCCTATCCATCCTCCAGAAAACCCTTGCTGCCGAACACCATCAGCAGCCAGCCAGATCTGAGGACGAAAAACGGTATAACAGCCTCCACCGTCTCATTTCTGGATCTTATTTCAACATTCAAGGGCTCCCCCCCCCGCCTCGGAAACACCGTGCACGGTCAGCGGGCGCCGGCGCCCCGTTTCCGACAGGAACAGAAGTTAAAAAGGCGGAAAAAGCGGGTTCCCCCCTCACCTCTGCGTCCCCGGCGCTCACCCAGCCCCGGCCCGCTCCAACGTGGCAGCCGCGGAACCGCCTCTAGCCCGCCACCGGTTTCCGGGCGCACCCCGCGCCTTCCGGGCGGCGGCAAGCGGGACTCCACCTTTCCTTTACGCGGGAAGGAGTGCGGCGGGGGTGTGGGATAGCCTTGGGCGTGCAGCCGCCTCCTTCCTCGGGCTGTCCTCCGGGATTCTCGGTGCAGGAGCGGCGATCAGCCCTGGGAAAGAGGGAGACAGGCATTAGGGGCGGTCGCCTCTCTGGGGTGTAGAGGAGCCGGGGAAAAGAGCCTGCAACGCGGGGCTCTGGTGCCGGCTGTCCTCAGCTCCATGACAGTAATCACGGCGGTCATGATGTGAACAGCAGTGAGGCTCATCACCGGACAGGGGCCAGGCCCACGAGCCAGGGGCTCTCCCGCCTTTCGGGGCGGGGAAACGGAACTAACACACTTGAGTTTGCGGCCCGCCGGCTTGCACAGCCCCTGACCCACCTCTCACGGCAGTCGGAGCAGCACAGCTCCGCCGCCGCTCAGAGGGCGGACGGTGCGCCAGGGGCGGGGGCTGCCCCAGCGCCATGGCGCGGCTGTAGAGGCCCCGCCGCCGGGCATGGCGCGGCCGCACGAAGGCCCCCGACCACCACTGCCAAGCACCCCGCGGCAGGAGAGAGCCCTATTTCCTGGCCCCGCTATATATGTAGGGACTGGAAGCGCTGCTCCCATTGGCTGCGAGGATCGCCGTTTGCCATTGGCTGCTTTTTCCTCTATCGCTGCCACCGGTTGGCTCGGTTCTGTTCACGTCGAACCGAGGCGGAACTGCAGCAGTGCTGTAAAAGGAGCGGTGACGAGGGCCAGGAAAGCTCGCTAGGCAATGGGGAGGGAGGAAGCGGTGGGCGGCGGGCGGTGGTAGCCAATCGGCGGGCGCTGTCCGTGCCGTGCGGCGGCGGTGGCGGCCATGACACGGAGCTGCTCGGCGTTGGGCTGCACTGCCCGCGACAACGGGCGGAGCCGGGAGCGCGGCATCTCCTTCCACCAGTGAGTGCGGCCGCGCCCCGCGCCTCGACCGGGCTCCCTCCGTCCGTGCCTCGCCTCCCTTTCTCCATCTGTCGCAGGTTCCCGGTGGACGCCGCGCAGCGCCGCGAGTGGATCCGCGCCGTGAACCGCGTGGACCCGCAGAGCCGCCAGGCCTGGCGACCCGGCCCCGGCGCCATCCTCTGCTCGCGGCACTTTGCCGAAGCCGACTTCGAGCGCTACGGGCTGCGGCGGAAGCTGCGGCGGGGCGCCGTGCCTTCCCGCTTCCCGCACCCGGTGCGTGTGGAGAACGAGCGTGCCCCCTTCTTCCCCGCCACGCTGGGCCGCCATGACCTCCCCTCTCCTTTCCCCGGTAGGAGCCGCTGCGCGCCGGCCGGAGGAGCAAAGCCCTCGTCGGAGCTCTGAAGCAGCCTCCCCCCAGCCCCTCCGCAGGGGACCACAACTACAGCCTGAAGGGGGGACAGGCGGGGAGCGAGGAGGCGCGGCCGCCGCTGGAATGCTCGCAGCAGCAGCAGCTCCCGGCGGCAGGGAGGTGCCCCCGCACCTGCGCGGCCAGAACGGTGCTGAGCGTCCTGTGGGAGCTGGTGGAAAAGCAGCACCTTTCTGAGGAAACCGTAAGCTTGCTGCAGGCACAGTTTTCAGGTACTGCTGGGGGCGTTTTCTAAGGCAGAGTGCTGCAGGGTATGCACCCCCTCGCCACAGTTTTGTGTTTTAACTTTATGATATTGGTGTTGTCCAAAAAGAAATCCCTGATTGTTAGACTTCTAGGTCCAGTGCTATAGCATAAATACGTTGAGATTTGCAGGTCAGGAATACAACAAGTCCTTCAAGGAATTAAAATCTCCCTGCAAAATTACTTGAGGCTGGTTATGGTGTTCAGGTCAGACACATAACCAAAGCTGTTAAACCAATCCATGACACCATTCAGCTGGTGGATGACTCAAGAATAAAGTTTATTTAACTAGGAAAGCCTTGTCTTTTATGCTGTCTGGAAATGAGTTCTATTAACATTACTGATAAAAACTAAAGAAGCCGTTCAAATTGCAGTCAACCATAAGATAATGGCTTCTGTAATATCAGCTTCTAAGCAGCACCCACATAGACACAGCCATTACTCAAAACTGTGGGATGACATTAGATAGGAAAAGACGTGTTGGGGTCTTGGCCTTAACGTGGTAGGACACACACTCTTCCTGGCCACTGCCCATCTCTAGGAAGAGTTGAGGCACGGTGGTAATACTGCTGAGCTATACACACCAAGCTTCAGGACTGATTGGTTCCTAAAGCCACCCTGTTGCCTTGTATTCTGCAGCATTTGTATTATATATCCCTTTTAAGTTACCAGCTGTTTATTTGCTTCACTAAAGCTGACTTTTTCTCTTTTAAGCAGATTTGCCTTGTGAGTTGCACAGCTGGAGGCAGATGGCCGAATACTCTCCAGAAATGAGGCAGTTTGCTTGTATTCTCCACCTCTACCATATTAAGGCTTACAATTATCTACGGAAGATTATTCCTCTCCCTCATCCTTGCAGTCTGACAAAGCAAGTTTTTACTCATTCGTTCTGAATATACTTGCAGGTACTCCTGTAGAAATAGGTGTAACGGGGTCTGCCCTGAAGATGTTCAGTAGCTTTTCCCTGCTTTGTTTTAGTAACAGAAGCAGAGTGGGAAGCGAGCATCAAGAAATATTGATACTCCTCAACTTGGAGATCTGCTCTGTGTCCATGCATGTGCGGCAGAGCATGAGAATAACAATTTTAGAGTAAGTGTGGAGTTTCCTAAGTATTCCTAGGTGAGTATAGGTGTGAAAAAAAGGTATTATTTTAGGGCCTCAACTGCTTCAGAGTCTATATGTGTTTTACTGTTCACTGGGGAGGAAGGAGGAATACGAACAAGCACATGTGCTTTACCACACTGGCACATGCTCTTGCCCTGTGATGTGCAGTGTAGACTTGTGAGAAGGGAGAGGTGAGGCAAATACTGAAGGAAGGGCAAATATTATGAGTAAGGTCATCTAAAAAGAAACCACAGGAGGCAGTGTTACGAGAGCATCTGTAGTACTCCACCAACAGCAGGAACTGAATGAGGAGACATGGGCAGGAGTAAATGTCAGTAGAGGAAATCAAAACCAATAGGACTATACATGGAAAGCTTTGGCCCTCTTTCTGGAAGAGGGAGAAGTCAAGAAGGGAACACGGGAAAAGAGAAGGACTGCATAAAGCAGTTAAGACTAGAGCTTTGGGGTTTTTCACCTTGTCCCACAAGGACTCTGGGAAGTTAGTGAATCTCAACAAGTGTCTGTTTCAAAGTTACAGAAGGGAGATACTTCTGTATCACATAACTCAGTTGTGTAACCCACACAAGTAGTTATGTAGGCTCAGAATTTATTACTTTAAAGTGCTATCAGACCCATTTACCAAGAGTGAAGTTGTAACAACACACAAAACAAAAGCTGGAGAAACTCTCCCTGTCAGATTTTGAGTCTCAGACTCCTGTAGTGCAGTTGGTGGATGCTCATCAGGTACACTCATTGACCATACCTGCCTTGGGGTGTTTCACACAGCTTCCTACAAAGAACCTGCTTGAAGGAGCAGCAGAAGGGAGTGTATTGAGGACAACAGCATTCCACATGGGCTGCCGAGGGTTTCACATCATCCAAACTGGATTACAATGTGCAGAGTGGAGAAAACCAGTTGGGAAGGAGAGTAGCCTGGTGTTGCTGGCCACCTGCGTAGCCTGATTTGTAATTCTGTGTTTGGTTTAATTTTTCCTGATCTTTAATTGTCCTGACCTTCTATATATTGGAAAGGCAGGAGGCTGCTTTAATTCCCTTCATGGTCGGTATTTTTGCTTCCCACCACTAGGGTGTGAGAACAGAAACTCAGACTATGCATTAAGAAAGGCAGGGTTTACTCTGCCCTAGCCTGCTGTACAGCTCCAGACATGGCTGACTAAGTCCTGTGTGGTAAAAGGTGGTGACTGTTGCTTCCCTTTTCTTAGATCACATCTCCTAATCGCACCCTGCCCTTTTTTTCCAGTTGGCTGTCTACTAATAAGGCTGCTGCAGGCTTCAGCAACAACATTTTTCTCTGCCTTCAGGAAAAGGTGGAGAGAGGGGAACAGGACTACTGCTACTGTGCCCTGATGGTACAAGACATGTCCCTGCAGAAACAGCAGGAGTGGGACCCACAAACCCAGTGCCTGACAGGCTTTGTTGACTTGGGTGCAGGCATCCTTGATGCTGATGAAGCTCCGCTGGCCTCAGAAGCAATAATCCTCATGGCAGTTGGCACCTCAAGTCCCTGGGCAGCTCCACTTGGCTACTTCTTTGTGAACAGCACGACTGGCTACTTGCTTGCTCAGCTGCTTCGTCAGGCCATCAACAAACTGAACAACATTGGCATCAGGGTGCTGGCTGTGACGTCAGGTGCCACTGCTTGCGGTGCTCAGACTGCCAGAGCTCTAGGGATCAGGATGGATCCTGAAAGGATTCAGTGCACTTTCCAGCATCCGCCCGGCTCTGCTCACAGCATCACATACTTCTTTGATGTTTGCCATGCCCTCCAGCTGATAAGGAATGCTCTGCAGTGCTTCCAGAAGATAGAGTGGCCTGGTGACACCGTGCGGTGGCAGCATGTGGTGGAGCTTGCAGCTTTGCGGGAGCAGAGGATATTGGAGCTGTGCAGTTCCAAGTCAGGCAGATCTGGGAGTAAGGGGAGTTACTACCTGAAGGTCAACCTTGCTACTCCGTTATTCAGCGAGGGTGTTGCTGATGCACTGGAACACCTCCAGAAACTGGGGCTGGCCTCATTCCAGAACTGCAGCGGTACTGTCAAGTTTGTGCGGTTGATGAGCCATCTGTGTGATGTATTTCATGGCAGAGGTCCCTATAGAATGGGACCGATGGGGCCTTTGCTAGTTGGAAATCACACCAAAATAACCCACGTCTTTAATGAGGCCAAGAGCTTCTTTATTACCTTCACGGACTCTATGGGGAGATACATTATTAAGAGCAAACGGAAACTAGGATTTCTGAGTTTCTTGCTTAATGCTGAAAGCCTCAAGTGGCTTTACACCAATTACGTGTCTCCAGAAGGCTCTTCTTCCCACCACCTCCTGACTTACGCCTTCAGCCTCGACCCCCTGGAGCTGTTTCTAAGGACTCTACAGCAAGCCTGTGGCAATGGGAATCCCACATGCACTGTGTTCCAGGCTGCTTATCACAAACTGCTGGCTGGCTGCAACCTGGCACCAGGCTCACCATACAGCAGTGGCACAGGCAGTATAAGCTCCTGGAACATAGCCCTGTCTCGCAGGAGAGATCTGACCCTTGGCAGCATTCGGAATCAGTATAACCCAGCTCATGGGAGGACACTGGCAACAGAGTACCCCTATTGTGCAGGCCTTCTTTTGCATGGCTCTACACTGGGTAATGCACTGACAGACCTATCCCTGCATGTGCAGAGCATCACCTGCACTGCGGGCTTCATTGCTGAGCAATTAGCCTCTGACTTGCAGTGTGAAGTTTGTGTTGCTTCCCTCTTTGAGTCAGATGAGAGCAGGCTAAGATGCAGGTCAGTCCTCTACATAAAAAAGTTAGGTGGGGTGAGTCTGCCCTCAGCAAGTGTGTACCACATAACAAGCATTTCAGAACAAGTCCTAAACTGGTACGGCAAAGTAGGAGACAGCAACAAAAACACCAAGCTATGGCACTTGTCCCTAGAACAGAAAATCTTCCAGGAGCTCCTGGGAGAAAGTTCCATCTTCCCCACTCTCACAAACCATTTATTTCATGGGGAGGTGTGCGTCAACAATCATTACACAATCTTAGTAAAGGAAATAACACGATGTTATTTAAAGGTCAAAACAAACTATGCCAAACACCTGGAGTTGAAATACCATTGTGGAAGGCACAAATTGAAGACAGTGAAGGGAAAACATTTGTTTCCCTCATCACTGGGTAGCTGTCAGTCAGGCCAAACCCACATGGGATCATGAGTACTCAGTGCTGTTCCAAGGATGGCTGCTTCTGAGGCTCAGTGATAGCCAGATCTAGGCAACACAAGCAAGGAAGTGATGTGGTATCTTCTCACGATTTGGCTGGCAAAACTGGTGTTGATAAGCATGACGTGTTGGGCCACTGCAAAGCACCTGATTTGGCCGAGCAAGGCAAGGAAGCACATCTGATCCTGTGCTCCATCTAGCAATCCTGCAAAGCAGCCACATAGTTTGTATGACTTATGTGGCAGGCCAGGATTAGTGATGGTTGCTCAAGATGCCTGGGGAAGTGGCAGGGGACACTGCAGAGTGTACGCTAGAGGCACTGGATAGCTTAGTGCTATGAATGCACATGCCAGGAGTAGACTGATGGGTCTTCCACATGGCTGAGGAGAATCATACATGCTGGCAAGTTTGATATCACCAAAGTAAGTCTGCTTTAAAAAAGCTGGAAGCAAGAAAGTGGGCAGAGCTCTTACTTAAAAAGGAAAATAAAGATGTGAAAAGAAAATGGCACTTAAGTTGTACAGAAGCCTCCACTCCTACGTGTTTTATCAAGCAGCTAAAGAAGCTGGTTTAGTCTAGATCCCCTGGAGGGGGAAATTACAATATCAAACCGCACCCCCGAAACCCCAGGCTATTGCACCCAGCAGTGCTGACACCCTCCTCTCTGGGAAGGAGCCCCAAGCACCAGCATATGGCTGTGCTGCAGCAGGGCAAGCATTTCAAGTCCCATTTCGTGGCCCCAACTGTGCCAAATGGCCTCATCCTCCCAGAACTGGTATGTCCCTTGCAGCCCAGGGTACAGATACTGTTTCCTCTGATTACTTGAAACAGATTTGGTGGTACCAGGCAGGATTGAATTGTTCAGTTAATTTCCATGGCAAGGAAGCTGCCTTGGTATGCAGTGCTTTACCTGGAATAGCAAAGTTTGGCATAACTGTTGCTAGACTTAGCTGTGCAGAACAGCAGTTGCAGCCATAGAGTTGGAAGGCAACTATTTCCCACAAAACTATGGCTGTTAAGTCACTTTCAAGCCACATGCTGGAGATGGAGTGAAAAAAGGGGATCCATCATGTCTCAGGACAGGAATAATATTCAAGGTGACATTCTGCCTACTAGGGACAAAACTGGCTCTGGTCAATCTGGGTTCTTCCTCCTCCCCTAAGTCCTACTTATGGTGGGAGCAGAGCTGCTGCACTCAATTCCTCAGGCTCCGCTTTGAGATTAGCAGCACCCCAGAACTTCATGCAATCTCTGCTGGGAGTAGCAAACCAAAACCTCCAGAGTTCCATCCCCCACCAGTCCAGTTACCTGTGCAAAAAGCCATATTGAAGCTGTCACTGCCATGGACCCATTGCAGCTACAAGAGACTCTAGGAAACTATTTCCTTCTCATTTATATGTGATTTTTAGGGCAACCGGCAACACTGCTGAAATCCCAGTGGCAGATTGGTTGCACTCACATAATGTAACACTTGTACTGCTTACATGTCCAGCTGCAATATGAGCTGGGCCATTGGGAACAGGCACTTCCTCACTGTGCGTTTGTTTCAGCTGTACATAAGCCTGCTGCCGCCTTCTTTTTACATGGAGGAGCTTGTCTTAGTTCACGCTGAGCCTCCTCCTGAATGGGAAGGTCATCCACAAAGATGTGGATGAGCTCATGGCCACTAATGAAGGTGTGAATGTGGCAGGCATGCTGTGCACAGAGCTTCCCCACCTCTGAACTTTTGGGTTTTGTGCTGTGCTGTGCTGCCCACCAGTGAACTAAGCTGGAGACTGCTGCAGTTGGGCTGACACCGAGCTGTGTGTTCCTGTGGCTGACCTGCCCATACCCATGACTGCCACAGTTCACACATCCTTTTGTAATTCACTGAAATACTGATGACAGAGGTTTCCAAGAGATGCTGAGGAAGTTTTACACGGCTTGGTAGGATGAAGTTTGAGCTAAACCATGTAATTAGAAGTGTGGCAGTTACCCAGTTAGTCAGATATTCTAAAGGAAACTTGACAGTTGTATTACGAACCCTGTACCAATTGCCATTATTTCCCAAAAAGACATACCTTCTGTTGCCCTCCACAGATAGTGCTGACTGGGCTTGCACCACAGGAGCTGTCAAGTTTCAGTGGAGTCTTTCAGCATTCCTAACACCACAATTGCAATCAAGTAATTTTCCACACTACTCCCTTTCCCACAGTGTCTTTTGGACAGTGCTTTCTCTTCCCAGCAACTCCTTGCTCAGACATTCATCATCTCTGAAACACTCTCACTCTTGCTTCTACCATGCCCTTCATACAAACTTATCCCAAGTCACTTTGAGCACCTCATTCCTCCTCTGTCTTCTAACTGCACCCTAAGGTAACAGAGAGCCTTCTCTCTTAGCAGCTGGTGTAGAAGGGGGAAAAGCTCAGTCCAGTAACATCTTCTGTTCCCTCAGCATCCTAACACCACTCTTAAGACTCCCTCAGCATTGACTGTACACTACCTTTGCCACACTGTTAATTTTTTTTTTTAGCTGAACATGGAAATTGGCTGCACACAAATAAAACCAGGCTTCACTTTGAGAAACAAACCACAAGCTCTCTTAGCTGACTTGTATTCCTTAATGCAACGTAGTAATAGAGTTTTTGCAAGAGCTGCTCACAAATCTCTGCAAAAGACACAAAAGCCACAAGAAACCAGTACATTGTATCCTGCTAACAAGCAGGCTAAGGCTCTCCACAAAGCTCTGCCTCAACATTTTGCCTGTGGTCCTCAATGAGCTCTTTGTAGCACCATGCTGTTTTCAAGGGCACTGCAGAATGGCCTAGGATGTCCTTCTGCTCAGTCTGAGCCTAGCTATTACCCAGCCAATACACATAAAAAGCCCCTCGCTTTCTCATTAAAGAGTTTAAAAGAAATGAAGAAACTATCACGTGGGCTCAGCTACCTGGTGCTGGTTTGACACACACATTCTGGCCCTTTATGAACTATGCCACCACGTGACACAAATTACTATGCATGACAGTATGCCAGTAACCAAGGGTTTATCTCTGACAAGATGTGATCTCATACTGAAAATCCAGGCCAGTTCTTGCATCAGAAACAGGCCTGGTGTTAACAACTGTCTTTTGATAGTTCAGTGAGAGTCACCTTCGAACAGTACTCAGTGCTGAAGGCAAGCAGTACAAAAGATTTGTATTTACAGAATAGTATAAAGGTTTATTTTTCTTTGTGATTTATCGGACTGTTTCATTTGTACAGTATAGAAAAGTGTATTCTTTGAATAGGTCTAGTAAATATAAATTTAATTTGTCTACTTTCAGATGTAAACAGAACTAGAAAATGAACCCTTTGCCCCATTCCCAATTACTTTTTATGTAGCTGAATGAACCTGACTGTAACTCTTGTCCAGCAGTTTGATGCAAATGGCTAAGGAAGTACAAAATCCAATTCACACATTCTACACCAAGGAGAGGGGAGAGAGGAATCCAAGCTTAATATTTGAGAAAGCTTGTTCAAAACAAAATTGAAGAACTAGGAGCATTTGATTGCACCTTTAAAGTCTTTACAAGCAAAATATTCTCAAGCAATACCATCATACATAATTACAACTGTCATCTAAATTTCACAAGTGTTTTTGCACACTGTATATAAATACACATCACAAAAGGTGCAATTTAGAGTAAGACATGGTATATATACAAAATTAACATGGACTGAAGTCTAAACAAAAGAAGGCATATTGCAATCTGTTTGGAAAATAACGTAAGTAGGTATTACTTTATTCACTTACACTAATTTACATTTATACAAATCTTACTGGACATACTATAGTAGGTCACTAGAAGTAAACTGAATATCCGCGCTATCTACATGTAAAGTTACTGCACTGATTTTTTAGTAAATCCAAGTCCTAATTATGAAAAAAATTATGTACATAAGAGGTGGAGTCCCTTTTCAGAGACTTGCTATTCATTTTCAGGGAAATATTAATAGCAGACAGGGCCCTTCAGACAGTGACTGGCAGGTCAAACCTTGTTTGCAAAGACGACTCAATGGTCACTGCTGCTGGCCACCTCCCAGGCCCTTCAAGCCCCTGAGGCATTTTGAGGAGGCACCAGAGAAGGGTCAAGGGCTTTTCTGCTCAGTGCACAAGACTGGGGTGAAGACAGGAGGGGAAGCATCCTCCCACCCTATTGCCATCATACATGTAGGCACTTAGCTCTGCTGCTGGTTTGCCTAACCCCTACCTTTCTCCAGCCTGGCCCTGCTAGAAAACCTGGAGAAAGAGCTCTGCTGCTTTTCTCTGTATTTACATTTTTACATGAGGAATACTAAATCTTTTTTTGAAAAAACTAAATAGTTCAGACTGCAGTGAGACGGGTAATAAAAATGCCTGTGATTAAAATATATAGACACCTAGACACCCATGGTAGGTAAATAATCTACTAGGTTAATTTTGCAAATATGTTCTGCTACCAGAAACATGATCCGAGATTGCCTGTAACAAATACTGAAAAATATCCCCTGCCCTAAGTCTGTACACAGCTATAGTTTATTGCCCCTGCTCTCCTCCCCCTCCAGCTTTGTGTAAAAGGATCTGTGTATCTGTTTTGAAAGCAAACCTGATTTTGTGCTAGCATCCTCTCTGATCATGCTCTCAGTCATTCTAAACAACACTTAAATATCCCTTCTGCCAACTAAGCTGACAATATACAGAGAAGCAGCACCCTGAAGACCCGCAACCAGGCTGAATATGACCCTACCTCTGTTTGCAAGTCAATTTGGATGCAGATTTTCTCAAGTCCTCATTAAGACAACTGTGGTTCCAATACTTCCCATGACCTCAGCTTCTTAGGCTTAAACGCTTTCCAGGGTTACAGCTTGATCCTCAAAAACACCACAGACTGCACAGCCCTATCTCCAGTGAGGGATTAGGCTGTCACAGACTTCTGAAAAACCAGATAAACACCTAAGAAATAGCATCCGTTGGCTGCATGGTTAGGTAACACTGTACACTGAAGTAGATACCTGGCACTGTGGTGTGGCTGCCCTTCCTCACTTCTGAGAACAGGCCACTCACTTGTCTTAGCCTTCAAGTTCCAGCTTAACCAACATGAGCTCTCAGCCACATTCCTATCAAAAAATTCCCATTAATTCCATTAGCTTCTAAACTCCTTGGGCCTACTCCAGCAAGATTCTCCATCACTTGTCCAACGCTAAATATGCAACCCACTCCTCTGTATTACTGCCTGTGTATTTCAGTGCTCCATGCGCTAATGGAATATTCTGTGTCAGGTCCCAAATACAAGTACTACCTTCTACTTAGATGCTTTTACACACTTCCTTTCAGAATTATCTTGGATACAGTGGTACCTCCTTATTATGGGCCTGTTGCCAAAAGCATCACCTATCTGTTGACATCACCTGTGTTTTCCTGTATGCACAAAGTAATGCAACTCCATACACTGTAATGATATATATTATAATAATTTATATATGCCCTTCAGGTAATTATTCTGGGGGAAAGAGGAGAATACATCTAATTTTTAAGAAACCCAAGGTAAAAGCTGTACACCAGGAAGAAAATTGACCATTAAGCATTGTCTTAAGTAGAAGAGGATTTAGCTAAGATTTCAAAGGC